TACCTCTGTACTCACCATCCGCTCCCACAGAACCTCCCTACCTCTGTACTCACCATCCGCTCCCACAGAACCTCCCTACCTCTGTACTCACTGTGGGACAGGGAAGGAGCAGATATCTGCGGGGCAGTATGCAGTATGTTTAGGGGTGGGGCATCTCCTCCAGCAGCCTAATGCATGAAAGTCGATTCCCCAGGGGTGATCGCCGGCCAGTGGGGAAGATGTGGAGCGGTGAGTAAGTGCGCTTGGTACACTGTGTGGGAAGATAGGACCTGAAGCGGGATTTACTATAGAGAGGGGCCGGTTGCTGACACCTGTGTTTTGCAAAGCTAGCTAAGCATATGAGGGCAGTGGAGGGGGAGGGGGGGATGTGCAAAGTTGAGCTGTAGTCAGGTGTTGCAGAGGTAAATTGAGTCAGGTGAGTGGCAGACGGTGCATAGGTGAGCTGCGGCTAGGGGGGTGCATAGGTGAGGTGCGGCTAGGGGGGTGCAGAGGTGAGCTGAGTTGCAACCAGGGGCGGACTGACCATTTGGAAATGCGGGCACCAAAATAAAGCTTTATCTGCCTCAAAAAAATTGCTAAATTCATGGCCACAGTGTTGCATGACCACGCAATTGTCATTCAAAGTGTGATAGCGCTGAAAGCTGAAAATTGCCCTGGATAGGAAGGGGGTAAAAGTGTCCGGACTGGAAGTGGTTAAAGAGAATCCAGGTATGGATATTCTATACATAGTTACATTGGTCTGGCTTGGACCAGTATCTCTATATCAATATCACTATGTATCAGGGGCGGACTGACCATTTGGAAACTCAGGCACTGCCTGAGGGCCCGGAATCAGTAGGGGGCCCCATGAGATTCCCCTGGTACCTTTTTCATAGGCATTTTTGAGTTTGGGCAAGGACACAGGGGCCCCATGATCCCCTATTGCCCGGGGGCCCCATGAATTGTCAGTCCGCCCCTGGTTGCAACCCACCTTTGCACCCCCCAGCCACAGCTCCACTCTGCACCCTGTCTGAAACTCACCTGACAAGTCACCCCTGCAGCACCTCACTGCAGCTCACAACTGTCATCAACCGGCCCTCTCCATAGTAACCCTCATCCACAACTGCCTGCAGCTCACCTCTGCACCCCCTGTCCACACCTGGACATTTAAAAAAAAATAAGACCTACCCCGAAAATAAGACCTTGCGTGTTTTTTTGAGCTAAAACAAATCTAAGACAGTGTCTTATTTTCGGGGAAACGTGGGTATGCCCTGATTACTGGTCTAGCAAACTTGGTAAGGAAGAAGGAAGGTGGGCTTGTTTTGTAGAGTTCCTTTATGGAGTGTTGCTGAACCATAGGCTGGTGATATGGATGGTAAATATCTACAAGTACAGGTGGAATTAAAGGAAGTGATGGGGGTACTTGACTAACCAAGGTTTGGGAAATGCTGGACTAGTACAACGTCTCTATCATCATGAGCTAATTGATCTCATTATGTGGTGATGAAACGGGACCTTTCTATGGCCATCAGCTGTGAGAGCTCTCTTTATTGCAGTTCATTTGAATGATCCAGCCGGGGAAGTGCGCACACTTGCTCTTCTGTGTGTTTTACGTCCATCATTCTTCCGCTTCAGACATTGATTGTGGCTCACAGTTGTTGGCTTACAGACCGGTCATCTGTTCAGACGTGGAGAAATGTAAATGTATGCCAGTGTCCTCCATGAGCTGTTCTTTTTAGTCGTGAAGTCACCCTGTCACTACCTTGTGGGGGAAGCGGCGATTACGTGAGTAGAATTTAGGGTATTCACCATGAACTAGCAATGTCACTAGGATGAGATGCCTTCCCATTAAACTATCAGTCATAAAGCAAAGACCCAACACCCTGGGAATCCCAATGTGCACCAAATCAAAGCAGACACGGTCATTTTTAGGAGGGCGGTGATCCTTTCCCAACTCAGTCATTCTGTTTTTGAATATCTAAATTTTTTAACTGACCTGTTTGTGTAATATCTTTCACTTGGATGTTATACATTGTGAGTAAACACCATGGCATTAAATAACTATATCTTCGTTTCAGGCTGCAAAGCAACAAAATGTGATCAATTTAAAGGGGGTGATTCTTTTCTATACCCACTGGAGTTGTGATGACTGCATTTAGTTTTCTTTTTTAAGGCATTTTTTTTTTTTTTTTTTGCCATAGTTTCTTTCACCTTTAGATGCAGCCAGTAAGTCTGGTCTGTTAAAAGTTGAAAAACATCAGACTGTCCAAGAAAAGTTGGCAGTTGGATGGAGACAAACCATTTACTTCTGACAGGGGTGCTTAGAATTAGTCAGCTTTTTAATTCAACACTTCAGCTTTATCCCAAAAGAAAAAAAAAAAAACTGTTGCTGTAACTGCTGAAAAAGTCTTAGTTGGAATTATTTATTGCAGGTACTTATTATTATACAGGATTTATATCGCGCCAACAGTTTGCTCAGCGCTTTACAATATAATGGGAGACAATACAGCAACAATACAGTTCAATACAAGAGGGATAGGAGGGCTTTCTCCTTGGAGCTTACAATCAATGCCACATACCAGTGCCCATCAATGCACATCAGTGCCACATATCAGTGCCAACCAGTGCACATCAACGCCACATATCAGTGCCCATTAGATCTGCCTTTCAGTACCACCTAACCATTCCTATCAGTGCAATATATGAGTGCTGCCTTTCAATGCCCATCAGTGATGGCGGTCAATACCCACAAGTGATGTTTGTCCATTCCCATCTGTGCAGCCTATCCGTGCCCATCACTGCAGCCTCATTAGCGCACATCAGTGAAGGAGCAAAATGACTCATTTACAAAATGTTATAACAAAAACTAAGAAACAATACAGTTCAATACAAGAGGAAAAGGAGGGCCCTGATCCTGGGAGCTTACCGCACTGTCCGTTTACACAGCACTTTTACGTATATTGTACATTCACACCAGTCCCTAACCCTCAAGGTGTGTACAATCTAAGGTCCCTGACCCTCAAGGGGTGTACAATCTAAGGTCCCTGACCCTCAAGGGGTGTACAATCTAAGGTCCCTAACCCTCAAGGGGTGTACAATCTAAGGTCCCTAACCCTCAAGGGGTGTACAATCTAAGGTCCCTAACCCTCAAGGGGTGTACAATCTACGGTCCCTAGCTCACATTCATTCATACACATACTAGGGCCAATTTAGACAGGAGCCAATTAACCTACTGGAGGAAACCCACGCAGGCACATGGAGAACATGCAAACTCCAGGCAGGTGGTACCATGGTTGGTATTCAAACCAATGACCAGAGTACTGCCTGGTGGAGGTGCTAACTATTTAGCCACTGTGCTGCCCAGTTGAACTTAAATTTGATAAACAAGTCCATTTAAAACTGCTAGTCCATCTAACACTACTCTTTCCTCAGACTGACCGTACTGCTTTCCAAAAGCGTCTTCATTGCTTCTCCATCCAGAGGGCCCTAAGACCCCTTTCACACTGTTTCCATTTTGTAGCTTGAAGCTCAAAGCTACAAAACACTCAACAATTACTTTTTCATGCAGGGCCAGGCAGGTTTGGACAGCTTTTTTTCCCACTTTTAATAAATTAGATCATTTTTTTTAAAAACTACATTTTGTATTTACTTTATGTAATATTTGTTTGATTACTTTTAGTGTGTGACAAATATGCATGAAAAAAAAAAATAATCAGGAAGGGGGCAAATACTTTTTCACAGCACTGTACAAATGAAAATCTTTTGTTGTCTACCAAGAAAATAGTACAATGACGGATGCAAGGTGGTTCTCTCGTTCTGATAGGACGTCATATGATGTCCTTCCATTCTCACCGCGCATGCGCGGCTCAGGGAGCGCGCAGCGCGGCGATCGCCGGTGTGCTATGTCCCTTGGACACAGCGGATCACGGAAAGAGCCGAAGATGTCGGCTCGGTCATGTGATCAGCTGTGTCCAATCACAGCTGATCACATGTAAATACAGAAATGCCGGTTATGTCACGCTGACAGCTCGAGAGGTGAGGAGTGCCGGTAATCGGCTTTCCGCGGAGGGGATATGTACACTGATCATCAGGGCACTGATGATCAGTGTGCCTTGATGATCAGTGTGGCCCCAAAAGTGCCACCTGTCAGTGTCCCATCAGTGCCACATCAATACCACATATCAGTGCCCATCTGAGCTGCCTTTCAATGTCACCCGTCAGTTCCACCTATCGATGCCTATCAGTGCTGCCAGTCAGTGTTGCCTATCAGTGCCACCTAACAGTGCCATATATCAGTGCTGCCTTTCAGTGCCCATCAGTGATGCCTGTAAATGCCCATCAGTGCCACCTATCAGTGCCCATCACTTCAGCCTCATTAGCGCACATCAGTGAAGGAGAAAAATCACTTATTTACAAAATTGTATAACAAAAACTAAGAAAACGTTTTTTGTTTTTTTTTAATTTTCAGTGGTTTTTGGTTTGTTTAAGAAAAAATAAAAATTCCCCGAGGTGATTAAATACCACCAAAATAAAGCTCTATCTGTCTCAAAAAAAAGATAAAATTTCATATGGGTACAGTGTTGCATGACCGTGCAATTGTCATTCAAAGTGCAACAACGCTGAAACTGTACTACTTGTGGGGGGTGATGTTTTTGGTTTTTTTTTTACACTGATTGCTTTTACACCCATAAAGGATGTAAAAGCAATCATTTCTCCTTCTCTCTAACTGCATTCTTGCAGCCATTGAGAACTACTGAGTGAGCTGTGATTGGTCACAGCATGTCACATGGTACAAGGCTGTTGTGAATAGCCTTGTACCATGTGACCTCTGTGATAATTCACAGATTTCACATGTAGTAAGCAATGATGTCACAAGTGACATCTTGCTTACTACTTTGCATGTGATCACTGATTGGCCAATCAGCGATCACATGATCGGGACCTCGTATAGAGGTCCCGTCCACGATCGGTGTTCCACTGTGTCCCAGGGAGCGCGCACAAGTAGGGTGTGGGGAGGCCGTTTATAAACGGCCACCCGACCCTGCACTGCCACCGTCTGGCCGTTTACATACAACGGCCGGACAGGAGGTGGTTAAAATATACCAGACATATATTTTTCCAGCACACAGAATTGTCCAGTTTGAGTTTTTTTTTTTTTTTTTTTTTTGTGTGTGTTTTTTTCCTTCCTGTACATGTGGAATTGAACTTTAAGGGCCCTGTTGCACAGGCAATCCAGTTCCCCCTGTGGGTGACCAGATGTCTGAGCCCACATCCAGGTTCATTCATGTTTGTCACACTGAATGCAGCAACTTTGTGTCCAGGTCCACTTTTACTTTTCAGCAGAGGGCGGATTTAGGAAGAGACACATCCGTTTACAGCCAGCCACCCATAGGGATCACATAGGTCCCCTTGTCCTCCATTACAAGGTGGAATGGTCGCAGACGTCCCTTGTGTGATGTCTGTTTCTGTTCTGATGTTTGTTTCATCAGTGGGTCAGTCTGGGATCCCCTGCTGAGACAGAACAGAGGTTACAATGCTTTCACACTGATCCCTTTTTCTTCCGCTTTCGCATTAAAAAATGTGACCATTTATTCCTGTGGAACTCTTCACTGATCCATTGCAGGTCTGTTGTGTTTAGTAAAATCCTGCTTGCTGCCTTTTTGGTGCAGGTTGGGTGCGGTAAAAAAAAAAACGCACCTCCCCATTGAAATGCATTGAAAATGCAGCAAAACGCATCACAAACACACCTGCGTTGCGTTTTTGTTGTCATGTCCTGTGAAAATTGCAGCAAAAATGCACGTTTACTATGTTTTTGCTACGGATCAGCGTGAAAGTATCCTAAAGATTTTATTGCTTGGATCATTTAAAAGTGACACACTTTATAAAACAACTAGGTTGCTGTATTTTAAGATTAGTATATTACGGTCAGTTCATACAGATGCTTCTACGCCTTAAAAGTTTGCTGCTTTCTCTTTGAGAGATTTTAGAAAATATCCATTACTTGGACCGCAAAAAGGTGGAAATAAGATACAATTTTATGAGAAGTACATTTTTTCAGTAGCGTAAAGGAATAATAGTGTGATGAACTATATGGCCAAAAGTTTGTGGGCATCTGACCATGACACCATCTGAATGGCCACATTGTTACCACAAGGTTGTAAACACACAATGGTGTCATGGTCAGATGCCCACATACTTTTGGCCATATAGTTCATCACAATATTATTCCTTTACGCTACTGAAAAAATGCACTTCTCATAAAATTGTATGTACACCATATAGCCAAAAGTTAGTGGACACCTGACCATCACAGCTATATGAGCTTGTTGGACATCCCACTTCATAATCATGGGTATTACTATGGAATTATTCCCCCTTTGCAGCTATAACAGCCTCCACTCTTCTAGGAAGGCTTTCTCCATGATGTTCGAGTTGTCTGTAGAAATTTGTGCCCCATCAACCATTAGAGCATTTGTAAGGTCAGGTTCTGATGTTGGAGATCTGGCTTACATCTGGAACAGAAAAGGGTCTTCAAACTGTTACCACAAGGTTGTAAACACACAGTTAGAAGACCCTTTTCTGTTCTAGCTTGTCTGTACCCCTGTGTAGAAAGCCAGCTCTATGAAGACATGGTTTGAGGAGTTTGGTGTTGAGAATCCAGAGTGACCTGCACAGAACCCTGACCTCAACCCTACTGAACACCTTTGGGATCAGTTAGACTGCCAGATGTAAGCCAGATCTCCAACATCAGAACCTGACCTTACAAATGCTCTAATGGTTGATGGGGTACAAATTTCTACAGACAACTCGAACATCATGGAGAAAGCCTTCCTAGAAGAGTGGAGGCTGGTATAGCTGCAAAGGGGGAATACTTCCATAGTAATGCCCATGATTATGAAGTGGGATGTCCAACAAGCTCATATAGATGTGATGGTCAGGTGTCCACTAACTTTTGGCTATATGGTGTACTTATGTATGTATGATTTAACTGCTTTATGAAATTCTGAGTTAAATAATGTGATTTGTATATTTGAAGTTAACCTTTTATCATGAGAAAAAATAAATAAATCCAGTGAAACTTGTATAGCTGGATGTACCTGGCAGCTAATCGGTTTATGTGCTTTTCTTCTGCTTTGCGCTCTGTCGTCCTCAGTCTGTGAGCGTCTCCATTTCTCTGGTGTCATGACATTTTCCACTTCCATATTCTGTCATTCTCAGACTTGTTTCTCTCTGCCTCTCCTCTCACCCAGTTGTCTGCAGCATCCAGCCCATCCAGTCAGAGTCCTCACAGAGCGCCTGGGAAGGACCCCTATCCACAGCTCTCATTACAGGATTTCTTGTAGGACCATTTAGGTATAGTCAGCTACATCTCCATGAGTCAAAGAGAACATGGTACCTTGTGTTTAAAAAAAAAAAAAATCATTGGCATCCACTCTGTGTTTGCACACCTCAGCTTTTGTCAAAACCCAACCTTGAAATAAGACTGTTGATATGTGGGTTGTTAAGGACACAGATACTTTACTATGTTTCACTTTCCTTTTTCAGTTTATAGCTTCTCTTAACTCAGATTATGTTGCAGGAGGTCGGTTTGCTTTGTTCAGTTATTTTATTTTTGCTTTGCCTGAATAAATATGCTTTCATTGGTTTATTGATGTAACTCGCTCTGTTTTAGTCCAAATTAGACCCAGACATGTAATTCAGAAATGTAAAAAAATTACCTGTATGGAAGCCAACTGCCAGCCTCTTCATATGAATTAATAAGAGGCTCTTGTGCTAAATATTAAAGGCCTCTGACCCACCACTGCACCTCATGCAAGTCACGAAAGTCATCACTGACCCACCCCCTGCCTATCATGTGTGTCATGAAACATCACTGACCCACCCATGCCTATCGTGTGTCGTGAAAATTCACTGACCCCCACCCCTGCCTATCGTGTGTCATGAAAAATCACTGACCCACCCCCCTGCCTATCATGTGTGTCATGAAACATCACTGACCTACTCCTGCCTTTCATGTGTATCATGAAACATCACTGACCCACCCCTGCCCATTATGTAACATCACTGACCAACCCCTGCCTTTCATGTGTGTCATGCAACATCACTGACCCACCCCTGCCCATTATGTAACATCACTGACCAACCCCTGCCTTTCATGTGTGTAATGAAACATCACTGACCCACCCCTGCCTATCATGTAACATTACTAAACCACCCCTGCCTATCGTGTGTCATGCAACATCACTGACCCACCCCTGCCCATTATGTAACATCACTGACCCACCCCTGCCCATCATGTAACATCACTGACCCACCCCAGCCCATCATGTAACATCACTGACCCACCCCAGCCCATCATGTAACATCACTGACCCACCCCAGCTCATCATGTAACATCACTGACCCACCCCAGCTCATCATGTAACATCACTGACCCACCCCTACCTATCGTGTCATGAAAAATCACTGACCCACCCCCTTCCTATCGTGTGTCATGAAAAATCACTGACCCACCCCCCTGCCTATCGTGTGGCATGAAACATCACTGACCCACCCCAGCCCATCATGTAACATCACTGACCCACCCCAGCCCATCATGTAACATCACTGACCCACCCCAGCCCATCATGTAACATCACTGACCCACCCCAGCCCATCATGTAACATCACTGACCCACCCCAGCCCATCATGTAACATCACTGACCCACCCCAGCCCATCATGTAACATCACTGACCCACCCCAGCCCATCATGTAACATCACTGACCCACCCCAGCTCATCATGTAACATCACTGACCCACCCCTAACTTTAATGCAAGCCATGAAAAACCATTGATCCAGCCTTGCTTCTTGTGAATCTTTTAAAGCTCTGACACTAATACCTCTCATGTGACATTCTAAAAAGCTCTGACCCAGCACTGTTTCTCATGAATTCAAAAAAAGCTCTCATTCACCCGTCTCTTTTATGGTCATTAAAAGGCTCTATCCCAGCACTGCTCAATAATCATTAAAAGCGCTTAACAAGACATTGTTTCTTTTTGTTGAGTGAATAGCAGTTTTTTAAAAAGATAAACCCTAACCCATTGCTGTTGTATGCAAGTCACTGAAAGCCTCAGACCCCGCTCCCGTGAGTCTATGAAAGGCTCGGACCCTGCACTGACCCACCCTGCACTGCCTCTCCCGTGAGACTGTGAAAGGCTTGGACCCTGCACTGCCTCTCCCATGAGACTGTGAAAGGCTCGGACCCTGCACTGCCTCTCCCATGAGACTGTGAAAGGCTCGGACCCTGCACTGCCTCTCTTGTGAATCTGAAAGGCTCGGACCCTGCACTGCCCAGCCCTGCACTACCTCTCCTGTGAGTCTGTGAAAGTCTCAGACCCTGCACTGCCTCTCCAGTGAGTCTATGAAAGGCTTGGACCCTGCATTGCCTCTCCCGTGTGTCTGTGAAAGGCTCGGACCCTGCATTGCCTCTCCCGTTTGTCTGTGAAAGGCTCGGACCCTGCACTGCCTCTCCCGTCAGTCTGTGCAAGGCTTGGACCCTGCACTGCCCAGCCCTGCACTACCTCTCCTGTGAGTCTGTGCAAGGCTTGGACCCTGCACTGCCTCTCGTGTGGGTCTTGAAAAAGCTTTGTTGCACCACTGCCTCTTGTATGGTCATTAAAAGCCTCTGACGCAGTGCTGCTTTATTTAGTCAATGAAAGGCTCTGACCCAATGTAGCCTCTCACTCAAGTCCGTGAAAAGCTCCTATATGTGCAAATCTGCCCCTTACTATTTATATCTGTTATTTTTTAAACAGCCATGCATAAGGCTTTGAGTTTGCAAAGAATACAGGATACTGTGAAAGTTGTTCTGGATGGCCCATTTTAAAGTGTATGTCGGTACAAAAACATGCTGTATGCCTCAACAATACATGCACATTTCCTTATGTTTTCTCCCTTTAAAGACAGCATTTTTGTGGACGGAGTGGTGTCAGCCCTGCCCAGTGGTCTTTTGCTAAACTATTCAAACCCTTCCACTCTCATCTCTAAAGCATAAAGAC